AAAATGTATACACTATTAACAAAAACCACCCTAGAACAAGAGACGAAAGGGGAAAACATGTTAAAATGGGAGCACGATTTGGGATATGAGATAGATCTGGAAAGATGGAAAACTTTTTGGGAGGAAAATATAAATTTTACTGCTTGTGATTTATTAAGGGAGAATTTCAGAAAAATGCACCACAGATGGTACCTAACCCCTGACAGATTGTCAAAAATAAATAAAAGGAACAACGACAAATGTTGGAAATGTAACAGAACAAAAGGTACGTTATATCACATGTGGTGGACTTGCCCAAAGATTAAAATCTTTTGGGACATGATCCATGACGAAATAAAAAAAATTGATAACACTTGATTGAGAGCCGCCCAGAGTGGCTGGGGAAACTCAGCCAGATGGGCAGGGTATAAATAATAAATTATTATTATATTATTATATAACTGAGGCATCTGACATCACCTTCTTCCTCTTTTTGGAGGCAAGTATTATGAACCCCAAAGTTCATAGTAAGGTGGACTCACTGAGCTTCACTGGCCTTGCTGATGTTCAGTTTAAACAGGAAGAATCAACCCACTAGCTGCAATCTCTGTAGGGTGTTGAACTTGCTGTCAATGGCTACTAGTCATCATTGCTCTGCTCTACCTCCACAGCTGGCGGAAGCAATACTTCTGAATATCAGTTGCTGGAAACCATGGGAGGAGAGACTGCTTTTGTGCTCATGTTCTGCTTCCTGGTTTCCCACAGGTGTTTGGTTAGTCACTATGAGAATAAGATCATGGAACAGTCCGGCCAGTGGCCTGATCCAGCAGGTTACACTTATGCTCTTATGTGATGCAATTTTCACATCTCCGTTTCTTCAGTTGTTTCCTGCATTATCTGAATCATTCCCTCTCCCAACACTCCTGGACAGTCACCACCTAACACCTTTATCCACTTGTCTATAGACAGGCAATAGGTTTCAAAGGCATATATGCTGATTCTTCATTCATCTGCATGTATCTACCATCTTTATCTGCCAGTCTTCCAATGTAGGAAGTTCCTGCTGCTTCCATTTCTGGGCCAGGAGTATTCTTGCAGCCATTGTGGCGGACATAAACAAATTTACATCTTTTTTTCTGAATTTCCTCTCCAGTTAACCCTAACAAAAATGCCTCTGGTTTTTTATTAAAATTGTATTTAAAAACCTTTTTCAACTCATTGTATATTGTGTCCCAGAATGCTTTCAGAGATCTGTTAGTAGAAGTGGATGGTAAATTAAATCTGAAAACATTTGAAGAGCTGAGAGGGAAATTAACTGACTGGTTGTAGTATCACTAATTGCAAGAGAGAGGACTCTAAAAGTAATGGATTTGGAAGTATTAAAGACAGAATTGCTGAGCAATAAAAGAAAAATACTGTCAAAAATGTATAGGATATCATCTGCATGTATCTAAACAGTTTGGGAAGGTTTTTGTGGCTCTTTCAAATCAGCAAGATCTATTTGCCTTGAAACATTAGGTAGGGCAAATGCTTTGTATGTGTACAACATGGGCAGGGATACTTGAATCAAACCAGGTTGGATTCAGTGAGATTTGCTTAGGATCATTCTACCTGCACAGTTATTTCAGGTTGCCAGACAGAACCTCCACACTCTTCTACCCCTGTGTGCTGTTCTGTGCTGTTTTCTCCAAGCAAATTTCAGGGACTGTGGGGTCATGAGGGTGGGGAGAGGGGAAACCTGGTTGTGCTAGTGTAAGCCCTTGCACAGGTCTTCCACCAACAGGCTTTGTTTGGAGAATTCATTCCCCCACTACCAGCTCACTGACTCATTTTAATATGAAGGCAAACAAATAATTGAAATATTGAGCATTTCTGTTTAGAACCTTCATTCTTACTGAAAATACAGCATACAAAATTCTCATCACAGATTCCAATATTTGAAAAATCAGAAAGACATTCCTTCCACATACAAACAGTTTTGACACTCAAACATGCATCTCCATCTGTCACGGTAGCAAATCCTGAAAAAAACCCAAACCAAAACAAACAACAGAGAAACAAATCCACCTATGCAGCTTTTCCTCTACTAGGGATTTGCACAGGACTCCTGGTCTTCCCTGTGGTCCCAGTTTTTGGCCCTCAGATGATGCTGATCTATCCTGTGTTGACTTGAGGACCACCCATTCTTGCAATCACGGGGGCAGGGCTAAGGATTCTTAAAACACCCTTCTCACCAAGAAAATGTGAGCTTTGATTATGGTTAGGCATGGGAGTTATTTGCTAGTTGCCCTTTTTGGGGACTGAGCATGAATTTTTGGGAACCTCTGGTCAACCTCTTTCATGCCTATGTGACACCATTGGGTAACTTTACTTGCTGGTGGAATTGTGTTTCATGCATTGGGTTTTGATGCCACTTAGCCCAATAAGAGAATTTAAGAAGAGCTTGGTGAAACACCCAAGGCATTATTGTTAACCTAACCCGGGTCCTGGGAAGTGGGGTCACAGAATGCATGTCCTGATCACACACCCAAGGAGGGAATGGTCTTAAACATAATGACTTTCCTAGGATTATCTACAGAGTTTATGTCACAGAAAAGATTTGAAGAATAGAACTCCTGTAAATTTTACAGTTACCACCAAGATGGCCAAGTGCTAGCCCAAGTGTTGAAAGTAGTATGTATGGCTGTGACAGCCAATCTCTGTGTATCTCAAATAGGGACAGTGCTATTGTACTCCTGTCTTGTTTCTGGGATTATATATTGATATATCACAATGTCTGAAATAAAGATGGAGCTATGTAGAAGTATTGGCCATCTTCAAGGATTTTCTGTCATCAGGATTTTTGCTGGCGCCTGCTCTTGTGATTCACTGCAGAAGGAAGGGGAGAGTTAACAGGGGCTGCAAGAATCGAGAGAAGCATTGGCTAGCTACTTGGTTTCCCCCACATTGTGATTTTTGCATCACACACACACGCACCATGGTTCACGATATATTGCCAGGTTAAAAATATTGAAACCTATATCAGGATAAAGAATTCTATATGGACTTCAAACTGGTTTGGGATGATGTATCACCCAACCCTAACAAACATCATGATCACAATATATTGCCAGATCAAAAATTATGGAACCGGTATCACAATATGGATTTCAAGCCAGTTTTGGACGATATATTGCCCAGCGCTAGTTTGCCACTGTGAGAATAAGATACTAGACTAGGTTGAACTTTGGCTGAATCCATAAAGGCTCTTCTTGTTTTCTTACCTGGGAGTGAGCACTGTAAGTCGCTGCATTACACTCTCTTAATCTACATTTCACACAGAGCCCTTAACTTTGTAATTGTAATCCTATGGCAGCCATACTTACCAGGATTAGAAATTAGTACCAAAGCAAGGGCAGTCAAAAGGAGATGGCAGGACTTCACAGCTATGAGCAGGTAAAAGTGTATGTTAGCTGTAACTCTACAAGAAAGGAAAAGAAGACTGAGAGGAGACAATGGGTCTGTCTTTTATACTGGACTAGCTGGGATTCCAGGGAATTGAATTGAATTGCAAATGTGCCCTCTCTTCCTAAAAAAAACCGACACCAAAAACCATTGGACAGCATTCCCTGAAAACAATGGGCACAATGTGCAAAGTCCATTAAGTAGTGAAATATTAAAGGTGGTAGATCTTAAAGATGTATATGGGTCCATTTAAATGCCCCGATGCCCCAACTGTAGCACATATATAGGGGTAAATTGTGCACAGAAATGCATATATTAATGAAAATAACATTAAAGTGTATTATATAATGAATTCAGATTATCCTCCACCAGAGCCAGGGCCTTCTCAGTGATGGCTCTGACCTGGTGGAATGCTCTGTCCCATGAGACCAGGGCCCTGCTGGATTTAACTTCCTTCCGCAGGGCCTGTAAAGCAGAGCTATTCTGCCTGGCTTTCAATTTGAACTTAGCCTGATCTTTTATTTTCCTTCCTTCCTTCCCTCCCCCTCCCCTTTTTATGAAGATTACCCACTCTGGGATCCCACAGCTAATTCTCCCCTGGTCTCCTCGCTGGCCCAAATAGGCCTAATTTAGCCAGCTGGCTCTGGTGATCATCTAAGGTTTATTGGATGGATTTTCCCCCTAAATAGATTTTTGAATTTTGAATTTATTGTTATTCACGTTTTATACTGTATTTTATGCAGTTTTTTGTTGCACCAATTAAGTGTTTTAAATTTGTTGTTAGCTGCCCTGAGCCTGGTTTTCTGAACTGGAAAGGGTGGGATATGAAAAAAAATTATTATTACTATTATTATTATTATTATTATTATTATTATTAGGGATGTATGTGTGCAAAATCAGATACATGTCTGCAGTTCAGTTTTTCCTTTTCTTTTAAATTACAATCTGCTATGGAAATGTAGACAACTCAAGAATGGAAAAACGCAAAACTGAGAGAAACCAAAATCGACAGGTTTACCCACTCAAATGTGTTAGTAAAAAATTATAAATAATCTTGCAGCTTTATCTCTTCCCACCTCTGTGTTTTCTTTACATAGAAGGCTTGAGACAACAAGGCTCAGCTTTCTGAGGATTCGTTTTGCTTTGGGTACCTTTTGAATAACTTCTCAATCAAGGATTTAAAAACTGTGCTTGTTTTGCATGTGGGTCTACGCCTTTCCATATCCAAGTTAAGATAATGATACAGGAATATCCAAAATTGACCATAGGAGGTGGGGGAGAAACCTCTCCCCATCAATGACTTTTTCATAACAGGGTTCGTCTGGAATGACCACTTACCTGGGAGTGCTGGGGATTAGTAGTTTGAGGCCTGAGATAGCATAGACTAGGGTCATTTTCTGCCCTGAGTGGCCATGCTGGGGGGACAGCAATGCCTCCCGCCATGGCTGCACAGTTTGATGGGAGGTGCCCCATTCAAGCAGGCCCAATGGGTCATTCAGGTGACAGTAGGTGGGGGAAGAGTAGGGGGATGTCAGGATTTATGATTTCCCTCTCACACCAAGGACGTGGCAAGCTGGTGGTTTAATTACGCTTAGATTTATTAGTCTTTACACAGTAGTTTCAGTCCGAGCTCACAGCTCAGTCATCTGCTGCTGCTGACGATGATGTTGAACTCACTAAAGGGCGGGTTCTTCTCCAACAGTATCTCCTGAGCTCTGCGAGTGCGGCTTTCTCCAGACTGAAGTACAGAGTGTTTGAGGACTGGGACATTCGCAGGGAAACCAAAATGCTTATTTACAAAGCTATTGTACTACCAGCCTTACTATACGCTTGTGAAACATGGGCCACTTATAAACACCATCTCCAACTCCTCGAAAGATTCCATCATCACATGAACTGATATCTGTTTTCCCCATATCTGAAAATAATGCAATAGAAACATTTTTTGCAGGCAACAAAACAGTTCTCTCACATACAAGACCATACACACATTGTGCCCCACTCACAGAGATACACTCAAAGAGATACACTCTTCCTATCTGTCCAAATGGACCTCTCTTACTCCATCTCACAGACTACCTGTCGCACACATACATCAAGTATTGAGTCTAAAGTCATTCTACTCTACAGCAATTAAGACTTGGACTCGATGGCCCTTGTGGTCTCTTCCAACTCTATGATTCTAAGATGTTCCCACTGTTGTTGCAGTCCGAGCTGTGGTGTCCAGTGTTGCATCTTGTCTGTCTTTTGGAGATCAGTTTCAGTAAATGCACCCTGATGATGTGAACAGGGTGTTTGTGGGGATGTGACTTGTGAAATAAACCAGTTGACCAGGTGGGTCCAGGGCAAGATTACTGCTTCCTTGCATGAGGGAGTGTTGACCAACCACTGCCTTATAGGACTAATTCTGTAGGATGGGCCTTGATGCCTGTGAAGGGAAAGGACTATTTAAAAGAAATAAGAACTTGGGTGATAATTATGCTGGGAATTATGCAGTCAATTTGCTTCCTGTATCCAGCAATGACTGACAAATAAGTGATTTGGATGTTTGGCTCTGACCCCCTTTTCCTTTATATTTCTCTTTAGAGTGATATAAAAATATTGCTTGATTGAGTGATGGTGGCGGCTCCTCTTTTTGTAAATTCTTTCGTGCTATTATTATTTTTTAAGTGCATGTCCTGGTGGAAGCCATGAATATCATACAACGTGACAGTAGAATAATTCTGCGAGGATTGGGGTAGGGGCGAAATGCAGCCAGCCTCCTGTGCATAGCTGTCAACTTTTCCCTTTTCTTGCGAGGAATCCTGTTCGGAATAAGGGAATTTCCTGTAAAAAAAGGGAAAAGTTGACAGCTATGCTCCTGTGTAATAATAATAATGATAATAATAATAATAATTTATTATTTGTACCCCGCCCATCTGGCTGGGTTTCCCCAGCCACTCTGGGCGGCTTCCATAGAAACAAAAAATACAGTAAAATATCACAGATTGAAAGCTTCCCTGAACAGGGCTGCCTTAAGATGCCTTCTAAATGTCAGGTAGTTATTTATCGCTTTGACATCTGATCTGAGGGCGTTCCACAGGGCGGGCGCCACTACCGAGAAGGCCCTCTGCCTGGTTCCCTGTAGCTTTGCTTCTTGCAATGAGGGAACCACCAGAAGGCCCTCGGCGCTGGACCTCAGCGTCTGGGCAGAATGATGGGGGTGGAGACGCTCCTTCAGGTATACTGGGCCGAGGCCGTTTAGGGCTTTAAAGGTCAACACCAACACTTTGAATTGTGCTCGGAAACGTACTGGGAGCCAATGTAGGTTTTTCAAGACCGGTGTTATGTGGTCTCGGCGGCCGCCCCCAGTCACCAGTCTAGCTGCCGCATTCTGGATTAATTGTAGTTTCCGGGTCACCTTCAAAGGTAGCCCCACGTACCTGTGTTCAAGCCACAAATTTCTACCACATACAGCAGTTATCACAATGTCAAAGTAATAAAAATCTCAAGGAAAGCTAAGCAATCTTTTTGGGAGAAGGAGAAGTAAACATTTGCATGAGTGAACATAGTTCATTCCTGGTATAGGGCCATCATTCTCACCTTTGGAGCTGTCATTCTCATCCTGGCAATTGCAGATAGCAGCATGGCCAAAATGTTGAACACTTTCCAATAGGGTTAAAGGTCGCAGGGCACTTGATAAATGCACACACACCGTTTATCTGGCGGCATTGGCTTTGCTGGTACACATTAGCAGACGATCCTATTTCCCCACCAAAAGAAAAAAAAAGTTTACAAGGGGAAACAATAACAAATAATCAGAGCCCAACATTCCTATGTTTCATTACAATTGGCAACATTGTCATTTCACATTGCAGTGCTGGGAAAGAGACTTCCCCAGGGCTGGGAAGATCATGTGGCGCAAGATTGGAAATACCAGGCCAGATGGAACGCTGGACATCCTTAGATCAAAGCAGTTTCATCTCTTCATTTAGTCAACACTTTTCTAGCCTTAATTCCCACAAGGAAGCCATCTTTTGTGTAATCTCACTGTATACAAGTTGTACAAGTGATAATAAAGTATTTCAATTACTGCACACACATTCAAGTGTAAAGCATCAAGATATCTGACTGTATGTAGGCCCCTACAAGAATAGTAATCACCACCACCACCACCACCATCATCATCACCATCAACCAGGGCTTGAACTGGATAGGAGGATGTGCCTGTGCATGCCACCCCTGATGCCAGCCGTCCCCCATACAAGCCACACCTCCTCCATTCAGAGTCTTTAAGAAGTTTGGAAGGGAGCTTCTGCATGTGTTTGGCTAATGACATTTGGAAGCCCCTTGGTTAAGTCCAAGGGGATGCGAATGGCACTGTGGTATAAACCACTGAGTCTCGGGCTTGCCGAACGGAAGGTCGGCAGTTCAAATCCCAGTGAAGGGGTGAGCCCCCGTTGCTCGGTCCCAGCTCCTGCCAACCTAGCAGTTCGAAAGCATGCCAAAGTGCAAGTAGATAAATAGGTTCCACTCCAGCGAGAAGGTAAATGGCGTTTCCGTGCACTGCTCTGGTTCGCCAGAAGTTCGTCATGCTGGCCACATGATCCAGAAAAACTGCATGCAAGCAAAAACCCGTTTCCTCAGCCAGTAAAGTGAGATGAGCACCACAACCCCAGAATCGTTCGTGACTGGACTTAACTGTCAAGGGTCCTTTACCTTTACTTTACCTGGTTAAGTCCAGAACTTAACTGATGACTTACCTGGATGAAACAAAAAGCCAAGGGCAAGAAAGAGAAGGTAACAGGTCCTCATGACGATGAGAAGATGAAGACAGATGGAAACTCTCTATCCCTAAAACAAGAGCCAGAAAGAATGAAATATGGTGACTTCTCTCCAAAGCTGTTCATAAATTTAGTGGAACAATGGTGACTGGTGGGATTGGTAGAACAGATGGCAGGTATCGAAAAGGTAGGTGGAATAGGCAGAATAAACCAATTCTCCATTTGTTCCCATTCTCCTCCCTGGTGAGTTCTACAAGGGCAACAATGAAACTACCGACAGCCAGGGCCAACTCTGGATTTGTTGTAAGTCAGAATACAGTAATGTGTGGGCTGTCTGCAGGCAGATATGGAAGTTTCCCATGCACCCAACTGGACGAGTCTCCACCACAACCAATTGTTGCATGTTGTGATGTTGAAGCTGCAGAATATTGAAGTATAACCATGGGAAGAGGACCAGAGCTTTAGCTAGAACTTTGAGATGTTCTTGAAACAGTCCTGATTACTGTGCTGGATAGCTCTCATAACAACAGACCGAAGTGGGAGCCTTCCCAGTAAGGCTGAAAAGCAGGCAGTCCTACTGATATTGAAATGTCAGTTGCATGGTTTTTCTGCCCAGACACACATGTGAGGGGTGTATTTGACATAGCTATACCTTTGGATTAGGATGTGCCGAGTGTCACAGAAAGCTGATTTGCCAGGGAAGAAGGGAAATGTCTGTACACACCTCTGTAAGTTCAAGGAAGTGTGAATGTGTATGGGACAGAAAATAGTGTGTGGCTTTGAGAATGGGAGAGGGGGCTTAAAAAATGCTTAGCATTCTCATTGGGAAGGCTGTATTCAGGTAGCCCCAATGGCCCACACTCCACAGCTTGTGAGGACATGTGCAGGCTGACCTGGGTGTGGCCATTCACACATTCATCTTGGCAAACACCTTAAAGGATCTTTTGATGTTGGGCAGTAAGTGCTGCAGAGATCTGGCACCTTGTTAGAGAACTGAAGAGCTGTTAGTTAGTTAGTTAGTTAGTTTTTTTGTCTCTCAAGAAGATTGGCAGGGGTTTTTTTTCTTCTTCTTGTCCTACAAAAGGAGGCAAGTTGAGTCAGAGGACATCAGCCAGGTAGGAATTGGGTGAGCAATTGGAAAGTGCCTTTAAAATGAGAGTAAATTACAAAAACTTGCCTTTCAGAGCTGTGGGAACTGAGAGTTAGGGTATGTGTCCCCTTTAGGGTCAACTGCATTTATTTATTTTTATAAGATATTTATTGAGATTTTCCAAATGTTACAATATAAAAATGAAAAAAAAGAAAAAAAAGAAAAAAAAGAAAAAATACAAAATACAAAATAAAAATGATTAAAAACCACTCAATTTTTCCATTACTTATTTTTCCTTAGCTTGTTTCCCGGACCTCCTCATACCTCCCTTTTTTGTATTCCAGTTCAGTTTGTTGGTTCAGCAAATCCTTACCCTCTTTGTTTATCCTAATCTTTGGTCTTAAAATAGTAATGTTAGATTTTTACCTATTAACAACCCATTTTTCATATTCCCTTAAAGCATTACAGCTGGAAACCACTTAATTTCTATCCAACATCATTCTAACATTCATCCTTTAGGGTCAACTTCAAACCCTACGCAAAAGTCTGGAGCCATGTGGGGTGAAGCTTACTTCAAATCTGTTCACGTGTGGCTTCTGGGGCTAGATCATAGAATCACAGAATCTTAGAGTTGGAAGGGTTCCCAAGAGTCATCTAATCCACCCCCCTACAATGCAGTGTTAAGTTGATGACTAAGCCCACACATATCATAGATCCTGTTCATTGCTGATCAGAGACATCATTAATGGAATATTTCGGGGAGTTGGAGATGGTGTTTATAAGTGGTTCATGTTCCGCAAGTGTACAGTAAATGGAATACAATCTTACTTGGCTACGAGTGATCACCAGAGAAAGAAGAAAGATCCTGTTGTGTTAATTAATCAATTTCCCACCTACTTCACTCAACGATCTTGCATTATTTCATTATTCCAGGGTACTCTTGCAGACAGATTTGAAGCAGGAGGGAAATGTTTCCTTGCTTTTGCTGGAGGGATTTATAGAGAGTGAAGGAAAGTAGAATTAGTAAGCAGTTCAGGACCAAAGAGCTTCTAGATAAAGGTAAAGGTACCCCTGCCCGTACGGGCCAGTCTTGCCAGACTCTAGGGTTGTGCGCTCATCTCACTCTATAGGCCGGGAGCCAGCGCTGTCTGCAGACACTTCCGGGTCACGTGGCCAGCGTGACAAGCTGCATCTGGCGAGCCAGCGCAGCACACGAAACGCCGTTTACCTTCCTGCTGGTAAGTGGTCCCTATTTATCTACTTGCACCTGGAGGTGCTTTCGAACTGCTAGGTTGGCTGGCGCTGGGATCGAACGACGGGAGTGCACCCCGCCGCGGGGATTCGAACCACCGACCATGCGATCGGCAAGTCCTAGGCGCTGAGGTTTTACCCACAGCGCCACCCGCATTCTAGATAGGCACAAAATGCTAAAATGAAGAAAGTTAAAATGTTAAATGCTAAAAATGCAGAACGAACTTTTTCAATGAAGGAAGGGGAGGGAGAAACAGATCTCAGGTTGGTTTATGAATCCATGAAGGGGGGAAGATAGGAGCCAGTTGAAAATATTACCTCTCCTTGTCTGTGTGGCTTGCTGGTCTTGTGGTGGAGGCAATGGGGTGCCTCTTCAGCAACAGGAGGAAAGATAAAAAGAGAGGGGATGTGTGTGTTTTTTAATGCAAAACGTTGTTGACAAGATATGGTTAAGTGGAGGAAATGTCAAGCAGTTTTCTTGGCTTCTAACTAAAAGTGGCTCTGATCCAAAGTACACAATGATATAGGTGGGCAGCCATGATTCAAAGCACACAGTAGTATAGGTGGGCATCAGAAAGGGACAGGGTAGGAGGAAGGATGAAAGAAGAAAGAGGTCTCACTGTAACCATTTGCCCAAGGACCCAATTTTTCTAAGGTTGGTTTTGTGCATAGCTCATCTAACCAGTTATTTTTAAAAGGGAGCAGTCGCAAGGCAAAGACATGAAAGCACAGGTTATATGGAATTCAAGATTATGAAAAAGCAATGTAGATGTTTGTCTGGGAACTTTATATCCCAATAAGAAAAAGCAATGGAAGAAAGCAGTAACATATTGTGCTGGAGACATGGCTACCTGAAGAAGCGTCTCCACCCCCATCGTTCTGCCCCGACACTGAGGTCCAGTGCCAAGGGCCTTCTGGTGGTTCCCTCGCTGTGAGAAGCCAAGTTACAGGGAACCAGGCAGAGGGCCTTCTCGGTAGTGACACCCGCCTTGTGGAATACCCTCCCACCAGATGTCAGAGAGAAAAACAACTACCAGACTTTTAGAAGACATCTGAAGGCAGCCCTGTTTAGGGATGTTTTTAATGTTTAACAGATTATTGTATTTTAATATTTTGTTGGAAGCTGCCCAGAGTGACTGGGGAAACCCAGCCAGATGGGTGGGGTATAAATAAATGATGATGATGATGATGATGTCCAAACCTCATGAACCAAGTTGCATGGAACCGGTAAGTGTGACATCAAAATATTAGGGAATGCACTGCTGCAACAATGTACAGTGGTAGCTTGGGTTACAGATGCTTCAGGTTACAGACGTTTCAGGTTACAGACTCTGCTAACCCAGAAATAGTACCTCAGGTTGAGAACTTTGCTTCAGGATGAGAACAGAAATCGCATGGAGGCAGTGGGATGCGCAATTAGCTAAAGTGGTATCTCAGGTTAAGAATAGTTTCAGGTTAAGAACGGACCTCCAGAATGAATTAAGTTCTTAACCCGAGGTACCACTGTATGTGCTTTTAAATTACAGTATTATCTCAGGTTACATATGCTTCAGGTTGCATACACTTCAGGTTACAGACTCCGCTAACCCAGAAATAGTACCTCGGGTTAAGAACTTTGCTTTAGGATGAGAACAGAAATCGTGCTCCAGTGGCGCGGCAGCAGCAGGAGGCCCCATTAGCTGAAGTGGTACCTCAGGTTAAGAACAGTTTCAGGTTAAGAACGGACCTCCAAAACCAATTAAGTTCTTAACCCGAGGTACCACTGTATGTGCTTTTAAATTACTTTCATTTCTCAATCTTCCTCTTTCTTACTCAAGAATGGGGACATGGTTCACCCCTATAGTGTCTTTTTAAAGACTTAAATTGACTTCTTAGGGATCAAGGTCTGGATGCAAGTTTATTAATAACTTTTTACAAAGGACGTGTGGGTCCAGAATTGGCCTCGACAGTCACTTACGGACTTATTGTTAAAACCGTGTTTATGGAAGACAATCTTACTCGGCTATGAGTGATCACCAAAGAAGAAGAAGATGTCACAGAGGAGCCCCTGAATATGATAGATCCCTTTAGGGAGGTATATATAATGAATGAAAAACAGATGCCCATAGCAATCCCAGAAGCATGACAGGCAGACTGCATGGCCTCCTTACATGTGGATATTGTCTTGTGGATTCCATATCTGGACATGAGATGCACTTCCATCTACATCCCAAATGGTAATATGTCTCCCCAATTCATGGCCTGTGTAGTGCTTCCATTGTCCAACAATTTGTATAGCATACCTTTGGTGGCTTATAGAATTTGCATACAGACTGTCATACAATTTCACCCCATCAGTGTCAAACATAAAAGGAGACACAGTAAACTTTTGGACCATCTGCATTATAGTTTTTATTTTTTATTAACGCATGGTCTTTGAAGATTTACACCAAATGTGCTTTTGTGATCCTTCAGCTGGTGGACAAAACAACGACAATTCCTGGATAACGCTGGTGTTCAGGTAGGAGCTGATGAATCCTCAAGCCAAGTGGCAGCAGAGATGGACCCCATCATTCAGAATCAAAACTAAGATGTTTGGAGATTATAAATTAATACTGACAAATTCACACATATCTTGATAAATTGTAAAATGCTGTTCCTGCTTCCCCCTTCTTCCTGCACTCAACCCCACTTCTCTACAGATTTTGTGCAATAATAATAATAATAATAATAATAATACCTTTATTGTAAATGTGTTTATTCGATCTGTGTAGAATGAAATTAACTGAGCCTCCCCCCCGCACTCAATCTCATTGCACTTTGTGTGCTTGTCCCACAACACACCAACCCCGAAAATCAGTTGCACTATATTATTTTCTGTTCATGAACTTTTAATAATAAAATTATATTTGTTTAAATGTATCTTTATTGTGTTTCATGACCTCCCTGATTTTGTATGTGAGCTGGAACTCGTCTGTGACTGAAATAATAAATTCATTCATTCATGTATTTATTTAAATATTCTTTTGAACCTGAAAAGAAAGAATTGTGAACAAAATATTATGAACATAATGAACAAAAGTCCTCTTATGTCCTACTTGCTAAACAAGTAGAGAAATATATTTATATAAAGATCTTAACCCACCAGATTTGGCAGTGGGAGCAAAACAAAAATTCAAGCATAGGAACAATACTATGGTTTTAGACCTCTCTTCTGTGTTCAGTTGTCTGAGAGCGGGCAATAAATTCCTTACTCAACTAATCAACATACCACAGATGCCCAAAAACTTTGTTGTTGCAATATTCTGCAGCGCTTCAAGTTTCCAAAGTCCCTTCTGTGCTAGCCCCCTTTGGAGCAAGTTGCAGTATTCCACCCTGGATGTAATTAAGACAGACCTGTGGCCAGATCTGATCTCTGCAGGGACAGGTGGAGATGGTGAACTGGCATAAACTGGAAAAATGTCTACCACTTTGGCATTTCCAATTAATTCACTCCTTTTGACATTCAACAAATGCACCTTGCTTTTTTTGTTGGTTGGTTGGTTGTGGTATAACTCTCACCTTATGCAGCAACGTGTTGTACTGCATTCTCCAATGTCTTCATGTTCTTTCTCACAGCTGTCTTTGCAGACGCCACCCAAGTTACCACAGTTTTCCTCGCCTATTACCTGAACAAAGACTGTTCCTCCCAAAGAGAAAAAGAGGAGGAGGAGGAGGAGGAGGAGGAGGAGGAGGAGGAGGAGAAGAAGAAGAAGAAGAAGAAGAAGAAGAAGAAGAAGAAGAAGAAGAAGAAGAAGAAGAAGAAGTTACTAAGAATCCTTTTCTTTCCATTACAACTAGTGAACTTGAAAACTGCATCTAGCTAGTTATCCAGTTGCTTTCTTTTCCTCTTGGCATCATTCCATCATCTGATTGTTGGGTCTTATTGCAAATTCTCTTTTTCCTAAAAACAGTATAAACAAGGGATAGAGAGCCCCAAGGACTGTGGTACAGAACGACGGCTTGTGAAAAATGCTCTCACTGTTGCCAAGGGAAGTTGTTTCCCCATGTCTAGTTGTCATGAAGGGGCAATTATATATTTTAAGGTGGGGGTCACAGTTGGGGAGACCAGCACACTGAGACTTCCCTCCAAGTTGCACCCCATCCAGCTTCTGTTGGAGGCTTCTATTGCCACCAAAAGCAACATTTTCCTAAATTCAATTGCCATGCAGAACACAATTTCTAAGTGGGGCAGTGGTGCTTCAACCTGGCATGGCTGACCCAAGACCTGTTGGCACCTGAAGCATACCATGAAAAGGTACCATCACCCACTAGGGAAGAAAGGGTGAATGAAGGGAGGGAGGAATGAAAATCTACATTGGGAACAACTGGAACAAATACATAGTTGTGTTTAGCCTAGTCATTTCAGTGTAAAAGTAGCAGTCAATGGCCCAACAACTAGCCATCTCCACAAAGGGAATCGTTTCAGTGGAAGAAGCCTAGGGAGTTCTAGGAGAATATGAGCAAGACAGGGAAGTTAGATCCCCAGCAGTGAGCTGCATGCAAACACATTTGGAATACTGTGTACAGCTTTGGTTGCCTAACCTCAAAAGGGAGCTGGACTAATAACTTACCTGGATCAGCTGAGAGGATTAAGGCAATGGCAAGAAGGAAATAGTAACAGGTCTTCATGGCTTTGGTTAGGCAAAGGTCGGTGTTTAGCTAGGAACTCTATATCCCTAAAAGAAGAGATGCCATGACTGAAACAGAATATTTATAGCACTCTGAAAATTGCAAGGGCTCCATCTATTTAAGCTAGGGCTGAGCTCACATTTCACAATAAAAAAAAAAATCTGATGAGGGTGGTTCCTCCTGAAAAGTTGTGAAATAGCCTCCCAAATTCCACCACCCATGAATTTTGGGGGAAAGATGAGGCTGTAACTTGAATAGCATTTACCGTATTTTTCGCTCTATAAGATGCACCATACCACAAGACGCACCTAGTTTTTGGAATAGGAAAACAAGAAAAAAAGTATTCTGAATCTCAGAAGTCAGAACAGCAAGAGGGATCACTGTGCAGTGAAAGCAGCAATCCCTCTTGTTCTGGCTTCTGTGATAGCTGTGCAGCCTGCATTCACTCCATAAGATGCACACACATATCCCCTTACTTTTTAGGAGGGAAAAAGTGAGTCTTATAGAGCAAAAAATACGGTACTTTTATTGTACTCCATTCCCTGCCCTTGGAAATAGGGGCCCCTATTTGAGGTTTCATTAGCAAAAATTGCATGACTGCACCCCCAATGCAGTAGTGGGCTTTGGGCTTTATAGTTTCAGCAGTGCCCTGTGCAACATTCATTCCCCACCTCCCGCTACTTGCTTTCCATTGCCACTTGCTCATCATTGCTGCAGTGTCCCCTGTGGCACCCTCTTGGTCTGGGGCCCAGTGCAGGTAAACCAGTCACATGCCCCTAAATCTGCCTCTGCCCAAGGAAGTCAAAATAACCCAGCCCCAAACCAGCCCATGAAATTATGGGTGAAAATCTGCTGTTATAAAAAGGAGAAGATCTACTCAAATTCCCTTCACTCACCAGTTTCACTACAATTCTTGATCGGTGTGACTCTTCCCAAGGTGCAAGGGGTCTTGGAGGGAAATGGCAGCGAAGTTCTCACTCTTTGCTAAAAGCCAATCCCTCGAGTGCATCCTTTTTATAGCTACTTCACAGCAGTTGCAGCCTTCCCTCTGGAACCACATGATCCAAATCTCCACAGAGGATTGGTGCTCCCTGCCTGAGGCATAAAGATCAATTCTGAAGCTCTCACAAGTGCTCCAGGCAAGAACGACCCCTTCACAGGATGGTACAGCTGCAACATTCTCTCATTTTGACACTGATATCTCCTCAGTCTCTGCAGAGAGCACATGAGATGCTATAAAACAGGCATGTCCAACTCCCAAGAGACTGCGATCTACTCACAGTATTAAAAAACTGGCAGTGATCTATTTAGGGAGCTTAAGTTGTTGAGCTTCTTTTGGGGGGGGTTGTAGTGGATCACAGAAGGTCCAAAGATCAACCAGGATTGACCAGTAGATCACAATCGACCTCTTGGACATGCCTGCTATAACAGCTTGCACTATTTGCCTCAGGTTATTACTGTATTCATCCCAACGTGAAGGATAAAATTATACTGATGGGTCCCAGATTGGCCTCAAAGTCCAGGATACTGTGGACTTGCAACAGCATAGGCTATTGCAAGCTTCCTGGGGAAACACACATTGGATTTAACATAAGAAGTTCTAAGACGTTATTTCACTCAATTACAACCATTTAAATAAAAATAAAAATGGTTGCATTCTGAGACCCACATTGCCTTCGGAGACCCATTCATCCCCTGCCTCTGCTCCTTCATGAAGCAAAACATCTTTGTTTGTAAAGATTATATCTTGGCTACAGTACGTACAATGCAATCTTCTTCTTCTTGACTTCTGGGCAATTAAGAAAGCACAGCAAGGTATTTAATGGCCTTTCCTGAACCCAATTCAGGGTCCATGATGTCCAGCACTCAGTTTCCTCCAGAGCAGCCAGTCATGAATTAATGGGAAGCTCAGAAAAAGTGCAGAGAAGCAGGAGTCACAGGCATACATTGGCTGCGTGTGTGTGATTTAAGCTCTTTAGAACCCATGAGAGATCATGGTGTATCAACCAACCAACCAACCAAACAAACAAACAAACAAACAAACAATACTGTTCTCAAAGCTCAATATTCTATTAGGAAATCATGGTTAATAACCACAGGTAATGTAGCCCTTCAGATGAGATCCACCTTTTGCCTGCTATGGAGGGTGAGATAAATTTCTTTTTATTGAAGAAGAGAGAGAATATACTGAAACCTCCATAACTTCCCAGATGCCTTTGCTCATATGTAGTGATGTCCACTAGCTGTTCAGTAAATAACTGGAATAAGAAAACCAACTATTTCAGATACTCCATTCTCTCTGTGCAATTAATGGTTTGCATTTTCAGTGAGGTTTGGTGTGTACAGCTTGGCTGCGATATGCTAATGCAGTTATGTTAACCAGGGTTTGAGAAGGCTGCTGATTTCAGTTTCCTCCAGTTTCTCATATCTCCATTTTCAAATTCATTTCAACGCCTTTTTGCAGAAGAGTCGTCGTAATTCATGCTTGCGGCAGTTGGGTTAATGCCGCCCGGAGTAATAATAATAATAATAATAATAATAATAATAATTTATTATTTATACCCTACCCATCTGGCTGGGTTTCCAGGCAGAGGGCAGCTTCCAACCAAATATTAAAAACAATACAGCATCAAACATTGAAAACTTCCCTAAACAGGGCTGTTTCAGATGTCTTCTAAAAGTATGGTACAGTGGTACCTCGGGTTAAGAACTTAATTCGTTCTGGAGGTCCGTTCTTAACCTGAAACTGTTCTTAACCTGAAGCACCACTTTAGCTAATGGGGCCTCCTGCTGCTGCCGTGCCACCACGCCGCGATTTCTGTTCTCATCCTGAAGCAAAGGTCTTAACCTGAGGTACTATTTCTGGGTTAGTGGAGTCTATAACCTGAAGCGTCTGTAACCTGAGGTACCACTGTACATTGAATGAATGAATGAATGAATTTATTAATACGGTCACAGACCAGCATCAACACACACAATATCACAGATCACAAAAAAAAAAAAGAAATACAGAGGACAATATGAATATAACAAGGATTTAAATATAAAAAATTAAAATTAATTATTAGCGTGCCCCCTGTAATTAACATTTAGGGGTTTGGTCATTATGGGATACCACTTGCTTCCTGCGATTAATTGCAGACACACAGAATTTGGCTACATTTAATGTAGTCTTGGGATTCTTGTCCTCTAGCAGTAGTTTTAAACTATGGTGTTCCGATTCTTTCCTGGACTTTTGCAAAACAGGTGTAATAAAAGTCAAACGTATATCCTCATAAAGACAACAACGTAATAGTACATGTGAAGCAGTTTCAACTTCCAACGAGCCACAAGGGCAGACCCATGCTGTGTATGGTTTACCCTAAAATCTGCCCTGAAGTAAGGCAGAAGGGAGAACGTTGAATCTGGCGAGGTTAAAAGACCGTCTGTATTTGGGTACCTGAAGACCTGACAGATAGTTAGCTGGAGAGAAACCTCTCCCATGGTCCCTTATTGCTGGATGTTTGATCATTTCGCTCATGTGACATTGTAATTCTACGTCCCAGATACGCTGGCGAATTGTAGTCCTAGCTTTCGAAGCCTGTCGCTATCAGGGTCTGCTGTGGGATCCCCAAGCCTTTAAGCTTTTCCAGCAGTGTAGCTTTCCATTTGGATTGGTAGGTATCTAATAAGGTTAAAGGTGCCAGCCCAACCAGGAAGAAAATAAGCTTTAGCCAATAATGGATCTTCAATATCCATATCCGAGTACTGATAGGAATTTGCCCAACCTCCAAATGGACCGCTATGTTGGATACGCAAGAGGGGATCCCCAGCAGGCAGCGGAAAAACTTACAACCACTGTACATTGTTTTTCTCTTTGGCATCTGGTGGGAGGGCGTTCCACAGGGCAGGTGCCACAACCAAGAAGGCCCTCTGCCTGTTTCCCTGTAACTTGGCTTCTCCCAGTGAAGGAACCACCAGAGGGCCCTTGGCGCTGGACCTCAGTGTCGGGGCAGAACGATGGGGGTGGAGATGCTCCTTCAGGCAGCCATGTGACCACCACAATGTGTTACTGCTTTCTTCCATTGCTTTTTCTTATTGGGATATAAAGTTCCCAGACAAACATCTACATTGCTTTTTCATAATCTCAAATTCTATATAACTGTGCTTTCATGTCTTTGCCTTGCAACTGATCCCTTTTAAAAATAACTGGTCAGATGAGCTATGCACAAAACCAACCTTAGAAAAGTTGGGTCCAGACTTCCGGAGGCGGCGCCATCGGCAATGGCGGATTCCCTCTAGTCTTGAGGGAGTAGCTCCACGGAAATCGGGTCTTGCCGCTACGGCGAAGTGGGGACCCTTTTGAAAACCACAGGCGGGTGAAGCCTGTGACCGTGGGACTCGGCGGGCACCCTTAGCGCCCCCCCCCAATTTGCGAGGGAACCCTGAAAAGAGTTCCGGAGCGAAACGGGGAGTCTGGCGCGGTGCTGAGAGTCAATTGCTTCTTCCGTGGAGTGAAGCCGCGCAGCTGATGCCGGAGAGCGCTGACCTTTTTCCTGTGACAATTCGGCTATTAAACAACTACCCGTGAGTAGGTCAAGTTTGAAGATCAGGGAATTTAAGGAAAAATAAAGGACTAATTTGGCACTGAAGCAGGAAGGTGTAAACAGGAAGTCCGCCTTCCTTTTCTGTAAATAGATCAAAGCAAAGACTGTCTAAGCTAAGACCCTGAAAATCGTGCTGAAAAAGACTCAAATCCTACATCAACAAAATGAGAAATCCCTCCCTGTGGTGCGGGAGAGGGGAGGGAGAAGGGGAAGTATCTTTTGCTCGCAAAAGAAGAGAGAAAGGGAACAAAGACCATCACTTAATGCCTGGGAACGGACTGTCAAGGGACAATGGAACTGCCGTATTGTGAAAAGCACTGTTAAAGGATAATGCAACTCTTTGACAGCTAGCTCTGTAAGAGGGATACTTTGATTCTGAAGAGTCTCTCCTGACTTGAAACTGACTTGAAACTGTTGCTTCTTTTGGCTAAAGGGGGGATTTCTGAAAGTTGGAAAAGTTATTTTATTGTCACAAGTTGGAACTGTTACTGTGTCCCCCTAGAGGAACTTTGAAATTGCTACAATTGGCCAGGGAATTTTCCACTCTAAACTGGCCACACTAAAGGGGAATTTTCCACTGCAAACAAGTAATCGTGGGACTTACCTTGATCCCTAGATAAAGTGTTATGGCAGACTTGACTCAGGAAAAAACAACAAGATCTGGTAAAATTAGACTGCAGCAGCGTAGACCGTCAGCACCTGGCCTCTCTGCCCCACCAGGGGAAGATTCAGCCCAGGTGACGCCTAAAGGAATGGCAGCTGAAGGGGGCTTAGCTTCAGCTCTAGATAAAATTTTTGAATCTTTGGAAAAGTTGAGCAAACAAGTTGCTGAAGCGACAACTAAAATTGACCAAAATACTTCAAGCATTAATAATTTGGGGCAGAAGGTGAACTCAAATACAGAATCTATTGAGAAACTGCTGCAGAAATCTACTTCAAATAGAAAAACAGCTGAGGAAGCCAAGGAAAAAGCATTGGCTGTGGAGGAAAAGATAAAGGAAAAGATACCACCGATTTGTAGGCAGCTGGAGGATCATAAGTCATTGCTGTCTATGATCGAATTAAAAGAAAAACAGATAAATCTAAGGATCAGGGCTGTACCTGAACTTGAGAAAGACAATTTGAGTGACTTTCTTACGCAGGAATTTGCAGACTTTTGGAACTTAGACTCAGACAAGTTAGATTTCAAGATAGTAAGTGCTTTCAGACTTGGAAGAGGGGGGAGAAGGAACAGGGTGAGAGACTGTTTGATTACCCTCTGATCAAGAGAGGAGAGAGACAGAATATTGAGTCTGCATTTCCAGAAGACCTTGGAAATAAAGGAATCAAGAGTGGAGATATTTAAGGACACTCCTAAACATCTTTTGGATCTTAGATCCAATTACGGAGATTTGGTGGCCCTGTTAAGAGG